TATAAGGCTATAGCTCAGAGATAGCTCAGAGATATTTACATTTGAATATTCAAAAATAACAAACAAACTAACTAAAGGATAACAACAAAAGTCAAGGAGAACAGCTGCCATCTAATATGCCCCCTCAAGATAGGCCACGGGATGAGAGGCCAATCTTGACTTTGAGAGATTGAAATTTGGAACGAGGCAACGGTTTTGTAAGAGCATCGGCAAGTTGATCATCAGAGGAAACATGAGCTACACGAAGAGAACCTGTCTGAACTTGATCCCGAATAAAATGAAAGTCTATTGCAACATGTTTCATTCTTGAGTGGAACACAGGATTAGAACACAACTGAGTGGCTCCAATATTATCACAATAGATTACAGGAGCATGAGGCAAATCAATACCCAGATCAGTCAAGAGATAACAAAGCCACTTAAGTTCAGCAGCAGTAGATGCAACAGAACGATATTCAGCTTCCGTAGAAGAACGAGCAACAGTTTTTTGTTTCGTTGAACTCCAAGAGATAAGATTACGACCAAGATAAACAATGTAGGCACTAGTCGAGGAAAAATCATCTGGATTTCCACCCCAATCTGCATCGGAGAAGGCGTGAAGAGAGAGTGGAGAATCACGATAAAAAATAGCACCTTCATCTCAGGTACCACATAAATAGCGCAAGATACGCTTAACAAGAGCCCAGTGCTCAGTTGATGGTTGATGCATATATTGAGATAATTTGTTAACCGCATAAGAGATGTCTGGACGGGTCAGAGACAAGTATTGCATACTGCCAACAATAGTGCGGTATTCAGTAGGATCTGGAAGAGGTGTGCCGAAGTGTAAACTGATCGGAGGACTAGTAGGTAATGGTGTGGAAACAGGTTTAGCACCTGACATATTAGTCCGAGCAAGGAGATCCATAATATAACGACGCTGTGAAAGGCAAATTCCATGACGGTGAGGAACCACTTCAACACCAAGAAAATAAGAGAAAGTCCCGAGATCTTTGAGAGAAAATCGTTGAGCAAGACGATCAATAAACTGATTAACAAGGGCAGGGCAATCACCTGTAAGAATGATATCATCAACATAGACTAGGAGGTAGAGAATATTAGTACCATTGTTGAGGACAAACAAGGAAGTATCAGCATGAGAATTTCTAAAACCAGCAACAAGAAGAAATTGGCGCAGCTCATGGTACCAAGCCCTCGGTGCTTGTTTAAGGCCATATATAGCTTTACTAAGCTTGCAAACATATGTTGGACGATCGGAGTCAATGAAGCCCGGAGGTTGGGCCATATAAACATCTTCCGATAGATGTCCTTGTAAAAAGGCATTGTTGACATCTAACTGGCGAAGAGGCCAACCACGACTAACAGCAATGCTGAGAACCAACCGCACAGTAGCAGGTTTAATAACCGGACTAAATGTTTCATGGTAATCAACACCAGGTCGTTGATGGAAACCTTTTGCTACAAGACGAGCTTTATACCTGTCAATAGAACCATCAGAATGTCGTTTAATACGAAAAATCCATTTACAACCAACAATATTAGAGGCAGAGATAGGTGGAACAAGCTCCCATGTCCCGTTTCGGACTAAAGCATCATACTCTTCGGACATGGCCCTACGCCAGTTGGGATCTTTGAGAGCTTGGGTTACAGTTGTGGGTTCAATGGAGGAGATAGGGTTAAATTGTGTATGAAGGTTGAGCTTTCTTAGTGGTTTATGTATGTTGTTTTTAGATCGGGTAGTCATGCGATGGGGGTTAGTGGTTGGGGGAGCTGGGTGTGTGTGTGGTGGGTTGTTTGGTTGTTGGGTTGGTTGCTGGCTGTTGACTTGGGTTGGTGGTATTGAATGTTGAAGAGGTTCCAGTGTTGTAGTCACATGTAGAGGGGGTGGCCCTAAAGTGTCTGTGGTAGGAGGTGATGAAGGATCAGCACAAGTTGGAATTTCTTGTGGGCTTCCAGCAGATGAGGTAGTGTGTACCGACTGGGGAGGACTAGGAACTCTAACAGTAATTATTGGAAGAGCCCAGGTATCAAAGGTAGTGGAGTCAGGACGTGGTAATTGATCATGTAGTGATGTGTAAGGAAACACACAAACTGGACATGACGAGAAGTGAATATTTTTGTGGAAGATGGTTCAAGACACAAGTAAGCACTTTGAGACAACGAATACCCGAGAAAAATGCAAGGTTTGGAGCGAGTGTCAAGTTTATGGGAGGAATATGGT